TTGGTGTTGATCAGTTAAAACCTCTGATCAGAGGACCTATGTATAAATTAAAAAGTTTGACTCTGTTCCATCATAATTGTAAGACACGGTGTCATGCTGTCTGGAGTGGCTCATAACCATGAGCAGGATGTCACATCCAACGCAGACACCCTCAGCTGGGAGTGTCATAGAATTAGATTTCACCAAGCCAGTAATAAATGATAACTCCTGGGTCACCATAACAGTCCCACAATAAAGTCCACCCCTAGGCCAAGGGTGAGATGTAATTTTTGCTGGGGGAGGCGGGGGGCGTGTCACGCCATGGATTTTGATAAGTTGTCACAGGCCACATATTTCTACTATATTAATGAAATAACCTCATCATCTATTATAAAAAGACCCTGTTATGTTCTTTATGTAGCAAAATAATTACACTTAGCAATTAAGCTTTGGAAAATCATGTGTTCATTTATCTTAAAAGGCAATTTATATTGCAAACTGTTTTGTGAACGCTTATACAGGTTGCAGTAATACTAACTTATTCAAATTTAAGTGTAGAAGAAGCAATGAAACTGACTCAGTGTGAGTGGCATTAACAAGGGAGGTGAAGTTAGGTGTCACTTCTGGAGCATGGCTGCAAGGTGGTTGTCAGTGAAGATCTATTCTTTGGTTTATTGAATTTCATCACAGAAGATGTCTGCTTGCAGACTAGGGGTGGCAGGTTTGTATAATTTTTGGTGGTGCCCAGGAGTCAAAGTTCTGCCCATCTGCACCTGTCTACTCTCCTCCCAGAGTCTTTGGGGTGCAGGCTCCAGACTGGAGCATAGGATTAGGGTGCAGGAGAGGTAGTGGGCTGGAGAGCGGGGGTTGTGGTGCAGGAAAGGGTACAAGGGATGTGTTTGGACTGGGGATGAGGATTTTGGGGTGCAGCAGGCAGGTTACCTGAGGGCTGGGGCCAGAGAGGAGCCCCCAGCAGAACACAATCCAAAGCCAAACCAGGATAAACCCCCTCTTGGAGTTGGCTGCAGGGCGGGGGCTGCCATGTGCCACCTCCTCCCTCCACAGGCATAGCAGTTGCTCCAGCCTGCCCCAGGTGCTGCTCCCTTTTAGCATCCGGTGAGGGAGTACAGAGCTGCAGAGTTGCCCAGGGCAGGCGGGCCAGAAGATGCTCTGGCGGTGCACATGGGGCAGCAGTTGGGGCAGTGGAGAGACCCAGCTCCGAATACTGGTGGAGTTGGACCCCCTGTGACAGACAAACTGACCTGAACAGTACAAATATCTTTCAGGAAAGAGTCTTGATCTTCGGAAAGTTCTGTTCATTAGGAGGTGCATAAAACCTTGCAAGTGTCACTGATTTGAATTGCTCTATAAGGAATGCATCACACTGCCAGTCAATAAGGCCAAGTTGGAGATCACTTTGCGCATTGTCCACATCACACGTGCAAGGGGAAGAGAACAAAGCCATGCCATTTTCTAGCTTTCTAAAATCCTTGAAGTGGGGAGTGAATTCAGTGTGCAAAGCGAGCAGTAGCTGCATGTGTCTTTGCAGGTTCTGGTCAGATATTGTAACTTGTTCCAAAGTGGGAAAGTTTGTGAACTACTTGTTTCCAATCTGATAGGAGAAAGGGAGCAACTTTATCATGAAAGACTTAACAAGGAAATACACATCATGAGTAAAAAGCCCCCTACCTTGTAGTTTCGAAATCAGTTCATTCATATCACCCATAACATCAATGGCAAATGAGAACTCAGAACTCACCTCATATAATTGAGGGAAATCCACATTGTGATGGTTTATATCACAGCGGTCCTCTTGGGGCTGTCATCTGGTATGCTGACTTGGCCCTCTAGTGTGCCCCACACCACCCTGTCCTGCTGGGCTAAAAGTTCTGGTCTTCCCCAGTCAAAGTACAGAGTTGGGGTAACAGCCCTCCAGCAGAGTTCCACAGAAACTGAACCAACTCAGTTCTGGGAGGGCTAAGCCAGCAGGACTTGATAGCATCCAGGAACACAACCCTCAAAAGGGACCAAACCCTCAAATAAATCCATCTTACTCTGTGTAAAAGTTTTACACACAGAAATCTCATAAGAGTTCATTCTCTATCAATGAAAAGAGAGACATGCACAGCTGTGGCTTCCCCTAGGTAACAATTATTTACACTGTGCTGGGTAATAAAAGTGTTTTTATTAAGTATAAAAAATAGGATTTAAGTGAATGCAAGTGGGAACAGACAGCTCAAAGTGAGCAACTAAGCCAAAATAAACAAAATGTGCCAATGAATCCCAAGAAACTTGTTACATGCAAATTCTCACCCTAACAGTAGGCCCAATCATATTTTTCACATGGTAGGCTGCCTCCTCGCTTGAGCCTGATTCTTCCCCTGTCCAGTCTCAGATTTTTCCAGCAGGCAACTTGGGTGGTAAGTGGGGGGTCCCCTGGGAACTCTTCTGTTGTTTTGTTTCCCACTTTTATATTCCTTTTGCCCAAGGTGGGAATTCTTTGCATTTACTTTTCTCACTTTAAGTGGAAAAGTACAAGATCCAAAATGGGTTCCAGCATCACACATCCTGGGCACATGCCTATGTGGGACCAATCACAGTTTGGGCTTTGAGGAAAAACAAATCCATTTTCAGATCGTTGGTTTGAGTACCAAGCCATTATGTTTCTAGAGTAGAGTATCATTAATGGCCCTCATGAGCACATTTAGAAATATAAACAGATTCACACTTCTTATCTCTAACTTCACATACAAGAAGGATGCATGGCACAGAAATGGAATAGATACATTTAGCAGATATGTAACATCATTTTTAAAGTTACAGATGCTTTTTGCCTACTGTGTCTTCAAATTATGCATATTCATAAGCCAATTTTCATAAAGCATGGGGGGGCATGATCCATCTTTTCCTTTCATTTTGAAAAACAAATCAATCTCCACTCTCAGATCCCACACTCTTTTCAGAACTTTCCCCAAACTAAGCCATCTAACCCTTGTATGCTACTGAAAATCCCTGAGCTCTGACTCAGGATTCCTCCAGCAGAGAGACAAATTGCCTGTGGTTTAATGCTCTTGCTCTTGACCAGTTTTGTAACTGTATCCATGCCATGGCATAATTTCAGAGCACGTTGCAGAGGATCTCTGGATGAATAATGCAATGTAGAAAAAATATTTTATGCTCCGGGTTTGTTTCTGTCACTTGGTCTTGTTTTCTGTTCAACAATCCAACATTTTTGCCTGTCAGATTAAGGCTTTCATAGGTGGTCATGCTTGCCAATTTCTTCCACTCCAGTCCCAATTTTGAGACACTATTATTTACTGCCTCCAGTAGATATTTTCTAGTAGTCATGTTTTTCATTGACTGTATTGCTGCCAGTTCTTCTGTGAGCTTAAAATGTGCAGTAATTCCTTGAATGGAAACTAACAAATGGCCTTTATCTTTAACCTTAGAACTTTTGCATGCCAGTGTAAAGTATGAAAAATAATTTACCTTGCTTTCCAACTGTTGTCCAGGTTCTCTGAGATTTTCTTCTACACATCTCAGCAGAGTTCACCTTGACAATGAAATATTTTTGAATGGCTTTTTTCTTGTAAGGGCAGAATATCTCAGCAGAGTCAACCAAGCATTCCTCAATAAATTCTCCCTCAGAGAACGGTTTGCTGTATTTGGTGATTTTGTGTGCAATCATGTAGCTTGTTCTTGTAATTGCTTCTTGTGCTGCGGATAGTTTTGTGGGGAAAAAATGAGCAACCATCTCATGCACTTTTTCTAACTTTCTTTTCGGCAGACACGTTCTTATATGTGAATGCATGTTTGCTTTCAAAATGCCAATTTATGGCAGCATTCAAATAACATAACTTACACTTTTTGCAATGAAAAACTTAAAAACGATAAAAGTTAGTAGCACCTTAAAGACTAACAAAACATGTAGATGGTATCATGAGCTTTTGTGGGCACATCCCACTTCTTCAGATAACAGCTTTGCAATGTAAGTACACACAAGGCCATCCCTGGTGAGGGTGGAACTCAGGACATCCCCCATCTGCCCTAAGCCCTGCACCCACCCTGCCTCTTTCTGTGCACTTCCTCCCCTGATTGATGTGGAAGTGGAATTAACGGGGGGCCTAGTGCCAGCAACAGGGATTGGGCTTCCCGTTCACTCACCACGGGCAGCAGGAAGTACAGTGACCTGGCCCCAACCTGCTCTGCTCCCCTGCCTCCTCATCATGTTGCTCCACTTCCTATCACAGCTGGTGAATGAAGGGTGGGGGGAGGGCGGGTCCACCTCTCATCTAAGGCCTCTGCCCTAAGTGATGTGGTTAGGAGTTGGGGAAGCAGAGTGGGCTGGGGCCAGGTCACTCTGCTTCCAGCCGGTGAATGGGGGCCTGGCTTAACCCCTGCTGCTGGCCTCAGGTTCCCCACCAGCCCCCTGGACTGCCATAGACCCTGTGAGGCCCCTGCTACATTGGTAAAAAGGTATTTGGAAGTCCACGCCTTGTTAAATACTCAGCATTCAGCATCTACTTTCCTCTTCTTTTGATCAAATTCATTTTAAAATTCTACCTCTCCACTGCAGAGCAGTGCACATAATAAAACGTGTGCGAAACCTGAGGGCTACTCAATTTTTCCCTCTCCACTCTCAATCCTTAAGCATAGCAACATATAACCAACCAATTGCTAGTAATGATAACCTACTGTACCGTGTTAGCCGATGAAATAAATGTATATCATCAAGTCCTTTGAATACTGCTACTTCAGTGGAGTCTAGAGAACCATTTTAAGTATTAGCAGGACTGATACTTTGCAGGCCCCTGGGCAAGGTGGAGGATGCCCAGTGCTGGGACCCCAAAAGAGGTGGGGCCTCAGTTGGGAGAGACAGGCATGGTAGTTATCTTCCTCCAGCCAGTCCATCAGCGCTGCCCACCCAATGCTACCTGGTGATCCAGGGGTGATTGATAGTGTTGTGGTGGTGGCCGTGGCTGTAGTTTGCCCACCTCTGCCATAGGTGCTCCAGTCTATCTTGCTAACCAGGAAAGCTGGATTTAATGATAAATGGTAATTTATACTAAAAATTGCAAAATATTCAGGTTGCTTCCAGTTCCAAGAGACTAGTCACTTACTTCAGATCAGTTGCTATTCTAGAATTTACACCAGTAGCCAATCCTGTAATAAATTAAAGATTTATTAACTAGGAAATACAAATGAGTTATTTAAAGATTAAAGCAAGCCGACGTACACACACAAATATGTTACAATCGGTGGTTCCTACAGGTGACAAATGTGGTAATCTGTCTGGTTAAAATGTCTTTCAGGGTGGTCCCTTGGGCAATCTCTGCTTCAGTTTAGTGTCTCTGTCTTTAAGAGCTCAGACAACAAAGAGATGAAGAATTTTCTTGTGACTCTCTTTTTAATCTTCTACATTTTGCCTTCCAGTCCACAAGTCCTTTGCATGTAGCATTTTGAATGTGCCACAGGGCAATTCACCAGTCCTTTGTATTGTGATGTTCCTTCATGGCTCATGGTCCAGTGAGAGGGATGGTTCCCGTGCCTGAATTTACAATTTCAGATCAGACATTGTTAAGATTATATAGCAAAACTTATGTATTTCCTTTATAGCATGGACTACAGGCATTACAAGTGAATAATGCATGCACCATATCAAATGCGCCCCCCTACAGTGATCCATAAAGCTGTGTGCTCAAGGGACAGGGAGCCATTGGAAGGAGAGGACAGAGTCATGGTGGGAAGGGGCAGGGCTTGCGGCTTGGTAATGGACAGCAGCCTCCCCCCCGTTCACCTGAGAATCCTAGGCTAGACTGCACAATTGCTCCGGCTAGTACTAGCCCATGGGCTGGGAGTTTGAGTCCTGGTCTATAGGCTGCAGAGACCCGGTGGCTGATTTGGAGACCCGCACAGAGTCAGGGAAGTTAGGAAGCCTAACATAGCCCTGGGACCTCCACTGCACTGCCAATTAGGCTTTTAATGGTCCAGGTAGTGGTGCCAAGTGGAGACACCTTTTTTTAACCTAGCTCTCTGGCTGAAAACTGGATGCTTGGCAACATCTTACACAAGATGACCTGTGGGCCTGCTTCAGCCATGAAAGCACCAGCTGTCTCCCTGTCTGCCCTGCCCGGCACTCTGGAAAGCTGGGTGCAGGGCCCCGTGTGTGTTTGTGAACACTGAGAGCCTAGAAGGGTGGGAGACAGGCTCCTCATGCTGCCCACCCCCAGTAGCTCCCATTTGCTAATTTTGACCAATAGCAGCTGCCTATTTGCAGGACAGGCAGCATGTGAACTGCCCTTCCTCCCTCATCCCCCGGACTCATAGTATTCAGTTTAGAGCAATAAACATGGCTCCTGCAACTCCCCTGAGCATGTACGTGGGCTGGAAGGCAGGGACTTGGGCTAAGGAACCTGCTGGGCTGCTGACTTGGAGCCAAGCAAGGTCTCCTAGACAGAGCCTATTTCTGGACCCAAGCCCTACCCTCCCTTCCCCAACTCTCTGCCCCCTTCTGCCCTCCTATCCCATGTAACTCAAACTTTCTACACGCCAGCTCCAGCTCTCATTCACCTTCCCAGACACTGCATCCCCTCCTACACCCCTCCTCTAGTCACAACCCCCTCCCAGATCCTGCACCCCCTCCTCAGCCCAGTCTATTGCCCCAGGTCAGGTCCTCTACTCCACTCAAACTCCCTCCCAGACCCCACACCCCAGTCACTTACTGTGACGGGGAAGAAGCTCCCCGCACTGACATAGTCGCCGAGGCGCCGGGCGGCGCGGCCAGGTGGAACCCCGGGAAAAGTGCTCGGTGGGAACCGAGTCCGGGGGACAAGGAGGCAGATGGGAAGGTGCGCACTACGGCGGGCGCGCCGTACGTGGCGGGCAGTAGGACCCGGGAGGAGACGGACGGGGGAGGCGGGGAGGAGCGGCACATCCCGGGCGTGCCGGGTCAAAAGGGGGAGGGGCCGGAAGGGAAGGGGGCCTGCCAGCATTACCTCTGCTCCCGCAGGCAACCCGGAGCACGCAGCCGGAGGACCGGAGGAGGAGCGCCGGACTCCCGCAGCCCAGGCCCAGTGTGAGACCTCCCAACCCGGGGCCCCTAGGACAGGGACAGGCAGGGGCTGGCTCCGACCCCCCCACCCGGGGAGGACAGACGGCCGAGCCCGCTGGAGAGCCAACCCCCGTTGCCGGCTCGGGAGTGGGGCCAAAGGTGGGGAGCTGCTTCCCGCCACTTCCCGCCCCCGGGCTGAGGATAAGCCCGGGCGCAGCGGTAGCTGCCCCAGGGGCAGAAACCAAAGGGACAGAGACCAAAGGACAGAGACTTGGGGGAAGAGACTGAAGGGGAGAGGCATGGGTGCGCGGAGAAACGGGGGACCCCAGAGCCTAGTCCGCTCGACCTCGCCACACTTACCCCAAGTTCCCTTCTGTACCCAACCTCCTCCCCAGACTTCCACACCTCCTCCATTAATAGAATATAAGAGTGTGGCCCTCGACCACTTACCAAATTCTTGGAGTGGCCCCCCTATCAAAAATTGTTACCCATCCCTGTGTTAATGCCTTGAGGTAAGAAAGAAAAGGATTCTTCTAACAGAATTGTTTTGAGTGTTGCAGATATCTAAAGCAAAATGCAGGACAATGTAGCACTTTAAAGACTAACAAGATGGTTTATTAGATGATGAGCTTTCGTGGGCCAGACCCACTTCTAAAGCTCTGATCTTAATGATTTTTTTTAAAATTCTGTGTTACTAATTAATACATGGTAAACTGTATTGCATTAAGGCCAGATCTTTGCTATCTGGTAGATTTCTAGCTCTTATGAGTCAGAAGCAGCAAGTACAAGGTGTGATGCTAGCTGTTTTGTAGGATGAAATCTTATTTGCAAGATCTTTGAAACATGCATCTGTCTGCTAGAAAGGATGATATATGTACTTCAAGATCTCAAGAGGTAGCCGTGTTAGTCTGTAATTAAAAAAACCCAACAATGGTCCTGTAGCATCTTAGACTAACAAAAATATATAAATATTACAAGCTTTCATGGGAACAACCTACTTCTGCCAAGGGTAGTGTTAATTTTCTTTTTATTTGATTTCATATTAAATAATCATAAGCTTGCTCCTTCATTATCGCTGGTTTTAATATATTTTCTTCCACACACTTGGACTATATAAAATATATATTTATATCTATGGTTTTTGTTTGTACTGGAGGGTACACATCCACACAATATTGGTGGTGCCCATAAGAAATTTCAACCCGCCTAAAAGAAAATTCAACTCGCCCATAAATGGAAAGTCTTAGCGGGAACACTGCCTGCAACTTCAGTTTTGTCCATTGCAACCACACACAACATACACAAGAATTAAGCGTGCATGTGCGTGCAGGTCAGGGCCTATTTATGGGGTTCCTGTTATTCCACTGACTTCAGCAGAATGATTGGTTGGGCCATAGAGGGCATGCATATTGGTTTCCAGCATTAGAGAATGATCTTTTTTAAAAAATTTTTTGAAGGTTTGGATTTTTTCTTATGATAGTTTATGAACCTAGCTCTTTTCTTTTCTTATCTCTAGCATGAGTTTACTTTGCAGAGATATTACTACTGACTGCTCAGCAGATGGCTGGGGAGGAATATTCATGTTGGCATACTGATCTGACTTGCTTTGATTGACAGAAGCTGGAATATTGGAGAAAGAAGTACTGCTCTCATACCTGCACAAATTGCTTTTTCTTTGCGACTGTGAAAATTGTAATGTTTCAGACAAATGATTGGAGGGGGGCGGGGTGAGGTTGGAGGAGGGTGAGGACATGCTTTGGATACAATGATAAGAACTTCAGGAATAAGCACAAAAGATTTATTACTTAGTCTCTTTTTGGGATCACAGATTGTTTGCAAACAACTTACAATTTTCTTTCAACTTATTTGTCTGAAATATGTCTACAGATAACTCTTGAGCTGTGTATCTTTTGCAAACAGCCTACTGGATGCATTTGAAACAGAACATTTGTTTCACTTTGATTAAACTAAAGGTCACATGTCTTCTAATTTTTGATTAAAATTTACTGTTCCCGCTAATATGCCTGCCAATAAACTCATTCCTTAAAGTAGCTCTGGAAAGGGACCACATAGAATTTGATGACAAGTTAAGTGAATTACTTTTTTATTGAAGCAAATATTAATGGAAAGTTAGTCTCTTAGTTTTAAAGCTAGGTTTTTCACTAATGCTTGGATGCAACTCCCTGTTACCTTTCCATTTGGCCAACTCTCCTCATTTCATCATTTTATGGGCTTTCACTGATTGGCACCAGAAAATGGCCAGTTTCCTGAAAAGTAAATAGGCTTTTTTCAATATGAAATGGTCAGACCTGAGCAGAACAGGAAATACGAGAAATCTCACTCAAGTCTCTTCTCACAAGGTTCCTGCCTTATTTTCCAAAAGACCGGATAATGAGCTGAACTTTTGAGTTCCTCTCCTCAACCAAATCTCAAACTTTTTTTGAAGTCTGCTTATGCTTTAAAAAAAAAAAAAAAAACACCCCCCTGGGGCCCCCCCCCCCCCCCGACAGTTTTTAAATGAAAGGATATATTATTCATTCACTTTCAGCCAAAAAAAGTAACACTTCCTCCTGTTTTGGTCACTCTGATTTTTGTTTTTGTTTTGCAGTTACACAAAGCATACATTTAAACCTCCAGTCTGGGTCTCTAGGCACCTTTGCCACATTGTTTGCATTACTGCTTGTATTTTTACAAAACCAACCCCCCCCTGAAATTCTGAGGCCAATGGTGATTCGAGACACTTAATTTGTATAAGTTAACTCTTCCACCGCTTGCTCTCCTGCATGTTCTATGCTGCCACGAGTCCTCTCTGCAATGTCAAATCAAACTGTTAGGGAAGAGATTGAGTTCAGATGGAGATGAAGCAGCAGCATTAGGCAAATACCCAAGAAAAATGTTTTGTTTTGTGCAAATATTGAAAACTAAAAAACGATCAGAAATAATTGAACAGGCCATTTACGTGCATCATTTCCCAGGAAAAATCTAAACAATCATACACCATTATTATTCGGAATAAGCAGAGAAAAATTTTTGCTACTGACCCCAATTCTCAAATCCAGCAAGACAAATGCTGATATTAAACCCTTCATATCACTTGTTAAAACTAAATAGACTAAACATGACTCAGTTTTCAAACTGGTTACATTTTGGAGACCTGTCAGGCTTAGTCTCCTTTTCCCTAAATTGCACCCAGGGCTATTTACAACACTACACAACTAATTTCTAGCATATGTCACTTACTGGGTGACTCTGTCCTTTACTAAATAAAATTTCTTCAAGCTGGGGAAAAAGTTCACTAATCTGGGTTTTTTTGGTTATGCTAAATTCACTTTTAAAACAATCTAATTCTTTTTCACTGGTAGCTTGGAGCTAGAACAATGCTACAAACTGAAGCTAAAGATGCTTGCAGGTTCATGAAAGGGCAGGTTGCTTCCTTACCATGCTTGCTTGTCTTTAATGATGGATGGGTTCCATCTGGTTCAGAAGAATGATGGAAT